GTTAAGAGAACACCAAGAGTTTCAAGGGTATCGAACTAAATGCACAACCCCCTCCCCCAAAGAGCCTATATATCTTATTAGTTATAAGTATTTACAAAGAGACCCTTGAAGGGCTAAAGATAAAAAGAATAATTACAAAAAGGTCCTTGGAGTGCAAAGATAAGAAAGAAAATAAATACAATGGTACAATACGGACCATAGAACTACAGTACATCAAATATCTCTACATCATATACATTAAATACACTTTAAACTGACTATAAAAACTATAAGTGAAAGGCTTTGAACCTTAGTCATTAGTCTATAATGATCATAAGTATACCATTATAGTATATTATAGTTACTTGTCATAAACATATGCACTTTAATTCTTAAATAAATTTTATCTTCTTAAGGAATGTTGGGTAATAAATGCTAAAAATGATTATTAAAATTTATATACTAATAAAAAATAATACAATCTATATTGATTTTATGAAAATTAATACATTAAAATTTTAATTTTTACATCATTTTTCAGTGGTTAGTAAATGTGTTCCCATGTGTCACAATGTATATAAACCATTAAAATATGGTTTTTTATGTTTAAATAATTGCATTATAGTTATATAAAACTTAATATTTATTGTTACTAATATATTTTTTATGATTTATTTGAACTTTCTAGTGTTGTGTATCTTGCTTTTTCGTTTGTATCCATGTGTATCCAGAGTATCCCAATACGTATCTTAAAATTACCTTATTAATACATCTTGCATTTCCAATACATTGAACCTTTCTCTCGAGAACCATTAGACATATAGAAAGCATGTGTCTTTAGAAGGAAAAGTCCACCATCTATATCAGGCATGTGAATAGTCTAGGTCCATCAACCCTATTAGCAAATAACCTTTTTTTTCTTAAATGCAACTTAATTACCATGACGATTATTATGTATATAGAGAGACAATTAAAAAAATATCAAAGAAAACAATTGAACTGCTGATCCATTCAATTAACATGCTAAGAGATGTTTAAAACCCATCAACCATTTTAAATGGGCATTCTATAATATGAATTGTTTTTCTTGTTATCGGTTCAAAAACAAATCAAAACTATCTTATTTGAAAACAGATTGTTTCTTAAAACAAAAATACAAGAAATATGTTCTTAGTTGTATATGCGTTTTTTTTTTCAAAACTGAAACCAAAAACATGTTCTTGAATTCAGTTTCAAAGACTTGTTTCTATCTGATTATTAAACATCATGCTCCATAATTTCTATACTAGAAAATTTGTTTTTGTTTTAAAAACAAATATTTTGTTGCTTCCAAAAACATATATTGTTTTTCGAAATAAAATTGCCAATTTGGTTTCCCTTTGAAAACAAAAACAGAATTTAAGAACATGTTTTTTTTTCTGATGTGGTGATTTAAAAAACAAATGAAAACAAAAATATTTGTGTTGTAGAACACCCTCTTAATTGCTAAATAATTACCTGGTGATCCAATAAATTGAAGAAATTATTAGCATGAGAGAAGGTTTATGACATGAAGAATGCTAATCATATGGGTCACAGTGCTTAGCCCCTGTTTTAGAGTGGTTATTGGATAACTAAGTGCTTATTAATAAGTGTTTATCCTTATAAACACTTATGAGTGTTTGGTGTAAAAGGTACTTCTTTAAAATAGGTATTTTGAAAATTGTGTCATAGGCCAAGATGAGATTGGCTTCAGTCAGTGCAAGGCTCATTCGAACACTGTTCGAACAGCCTTTACAGCCTTGCATTGGAAATATCTCTATACCTCTGTGCTTTATTTCATGGAGAGATATTCCTAATGCAAGATTATGATGACTGTTTGAATGGGCTTTGCACCGACTGAACAGTTTTGGCCAAGACGAATTAGAAACATGATAAGCACTTTTTAAAAAAAGTGCTTGAAAAATAAAACAAAATTTTGAACTTATTCGAAATGGACTTATTTCTTGAAGAAGTACTTATTCAAACTTATTTCCCAGGGTCCCTTTGATTCAGAATTCTTGTGCCAGCCTTTCAAAAATGAAACTTGGGGCAAAATCAATATTTTGTTTTGATTAATTTGATTGAAAGGATGTTAGAATAAAAAGCACCATTTAAGAAAAAAATGATAAGTGGTTACAAATAAAAAGCGGTGTCTTTTGTAATTAAATTTTAATAAATACGTGAAAGTACATGGATGATTGTAAATGACCCTTGTTTAATTCATGGGTCTGAGGTTGATTGAAAGCCAGAGTATCTCTGGGTGCATGTGTTGGTGTCAAAGAACTCCTTTCATGTTGTCATTATTCAGACTTAGAGTTTCATTTAATAAATCAATTATGAAGGATTCCCTGCAACAGGTAAGACCCATATGAAACAATAATTTCTCTAGGCTGTGTTTGGAAATGATGAAAATAAGTGTGAATGCAAATACGTAGAGTGTAAAACATTTCATATAAATTGTAAAATTGGATTAGTTTTGCATTGACAAATTTACTTTCTTATCAAACAGACTTTTAGCTATAATGGATGCAAACATAAATTCTAATAAAACATATGCTTTTTAGTCAAAAGCTCACTTGAATGCAAATTTACTTCTTTTTTATTGATATACTTTTACATCTTATTGTCAATGTAAATATGCATTGGTCTGTCATTTATCAATGCATAAATATAATGTTGCTAAAAACAGACAAAAGTGAACTAGAGTGCAAATTTATCCTGAACTGGGATTTACACTCCGTTCGCATCGTTTCCAAATGCAGCCTTAGGGTTTTATTTCTTCAACTTCAAGTGCATAGAAAATCTTTTGGATTAAAATATTTGAATTAGATATTTGTCCTTGAAATGAAAGATTATTTTTGGTTTTCTTTTTCATGTTATTTACATAGAAATATTAGCATAGGTGAAGAAATGAGCTTTTACACAATTAACATGGTGTTTGGAAGTGTGGATGCTTTTTGGGACCGATTTTCAAGAAAAACGCCCATACTTCCAAGACCCGTTTTTCACAAAAAAACGCTTCTGCCACGTAGGCAGTGAGCAACATTATGCTGTTTTGTAAGGTGATTTTTATCACCGTTTTTCATGTATGTGCTGATAGGTAAGCACCACATAGGATATACATCAGTCAACCGTTGGGGGAAACGGTTCACCAATGCATGAAACGCCAAATTTGATGTTTCATGCATCGGCAGGGTCCTGATTTTCGAGGCAATGCCCGATTTTTTTAATAATCGGATGAACCAAATAATGAAATACATGGATATTTGTTGAAACGCCTATATAGATCCGACGTGACACCATTTTTTTGAAAAATGGCTACGGTTCCAAACATCCCCTAAAATTGAAAGTAAAGTGTTTGTTTCTTTTGAAAAATCTTAGGTCTATTTTAGGACAACCATTGAAGTGCTTGGTCTAAGGACCTTGTCAGTTTGTTCTCTTTCCTCCTCTCTTTTGCAATTTACTTCTCCATGAATCCGGTCCAGAAATTTGTAGTTTCTTTTTCGAATTTTGAAAAAAAATCAATTTATGTATTGGGCTATAATTTAAAATCAAAACATAGGCATCTTTAAATTAATCAACACTATTAATTTTCTAGTTTTTGATGGAAAAAGAAAAGAAAAAGATGGACCCATAATCCACGTAGAAGAGAAAAGGTAGTTAATTGTTAGATGACATAAACTCCTTAGTGCCTGTTCGGGAGGGCTGTTGGGTTGTGGGTTCTGGTGTTTAGGGTGGGCTCCATCCCATGCTGAAAGTCCAAAAGTCATGTTTGGTGAAAATCAAAAAGTCAGTCAACAATTGATTTTCGTTGAATCAGTTGAGTGACTCCCATGCCATTTGAGTAGCTTATACGAAACTCATATGAGCTGGAATGGCAACAGCCTCTCCCCACCCCGTGTCAGTCCCCGTTCCTGTCCCCACTAATGGAGACAAGATTATCCCCATCCCTGTCTCCATTAATTAATGGAGATAAGATTATCCCCATCCCTGTCTCCACTAATGGGAATCCACTCAATGGGAATTCTTACTCCTCGTAATTTTTTATAATTAATATCAATCATTTTTTTGTTTTTTATTTTATTTAAAAAATAAAAATAAAATAATTAAAATTTATAATCATATTAGAAAAGATTCAAACATATTTAACTGTATTATTTTTAAAAATATTAATATATAAATATATGTATAAATATATGTGTACATATATACATATATTAGTAAAGATCCCATAGGGTGGGGATCGAGGTCCCCACGGGGTGGGGAGTGTTCTCTCCGTCCCTGCCCCATCCCCACCAATGGGAACGAAAATTTCCCCATCCCCATCCCCGTAGGGGGGAAATTGTCTCTATCCCCACCCCATTTGAAACGGATCCCCATGGGGATTGGGAAAATAAGAAAAATTGCCATCCCTACAAATTCCAACAATTTCAAAAGACTTTGAAATTTAAACTAACTTTCAAGTTTCAAATGTAGAACAGTTAATGTGTGCTCACCAATACGGTTGGCTTTAGTATTTTTCAAAACAAAAAACAAAGGCCATATCAACAAAAACGATAACTGGCAAACACTGCCTTAATATGTAAAATCCACCCACATGTGATATATATAATATACTGTACAAGACCCAATAACACTTCACAATCACTCTTCTGCTATCAAATCTAATCTTAATTATGACAAGAATCAACTTATTATAAGATGAACGATTATTTCTCATCTTTAATTGATGAGTGGGTGAACCATATCCACTTTCTATTGTAAGATGTGTGGCTTTAGTGTACTGTGGATATGGTACGTATAGAGAGACTGAGTAGGAAATCTGGGTTCTAGTAATTGCAGAGTCAAAGAGGCTGGTTATAGTGCTTTATTGATTTAATTATGAAGGTTTGGAATTAAATTGTTTTTTTTTTTTATTTTGTGGTTGTCCTTAAGTCAATTTGAAGTCAACTTCTGTTGCTTTTATATATACAGACTCTCATAGAGAGAAAATCCCCATAGGCAGCCAAGAGAAGATCCGGATGTGATTCCCATAGAGAGAAGCGGGAATAGGAAGCAGAGTGCAAGCTTTGAAGTTCAACAATTGCTGCAGGTATATATCTTCTTATTTGTTGTGAGACTGTCTTTTATATTAAGCTAAAGAAGGGGTTTGATGTTCTTAACGCTTAGTTTGGAAGCAGTACAAATGCAAATATGTACAGCGTAAATACATACAAAATGATACAAAATATAAGGTTTTGCATTTTATAAATTTGCATTTGTATTCCTTCCAAACTCAGCCTTTTGTGGTGAAAACCTAAGCCAGATACAAATTTTGCATGATTTAGTTTTACATCTGTTTGTAATTCTGATTTGCACTTCTATCTGATAAAAAATTTGTGGTTTTTTTTTTATCTCATTTGAACTTATTGATAGTGTAAATTTTGCATCTCAAAAACTGACATCAAATTTGCAACACCATCCTCTTGCCTCAAGTCTTTCTTATATGAAGTAAGGACTAGATCGTCTTTGCTTCCTACCTCATTCCCAAACAAATGACCCTCCTACAATTTTTTCTTCATACTAGTGGGGACCGTGCGATGCACGGGTTTTGACAAGCAAGAATAAGTCTTGGTAAATAAAAATTTTGTAAATTATGTTTTTCAATATTTCTATTATTTTATGATAATTTTTATAATTATTAATAATTTATGGTAAATAATGGTAATTTATTTTGGTTATATTATTTGATAACGTCATGTTATTTCTAGTAATTTAAGATAATTTATCAATAATTATTGGTAATTTGATGATAGGTCTTGGTAAGGTTTTTTATAAATTTTTGGCAAAGTTCTACAATTTTATGATAACTTTGTGCTAAGTTTATATTTTTTGGTTATTTATACTAATTTATGATAAGTTTCGCTAATTTCTGGAAATAATGGTAATTTATGGTAAATGATGGTAATTTATTTTGCTTATTTGATAGTTTCAGGTAACTTCTAACAATTTAAGATATTTTATCAGTAAGTAATGGTAATTTGTGCTAAGTCTTGGTAATTTATTATATGATAATTTATTTATAAATTCTGAAATTTATCGTATTTTGTGGAAATAAGTGGTAACTTTTTGCTAAGTTCTTCTAATTTTTGGTTATTTTAATTAATTTATTTATTTCGTTTAAAATTTATTTTATTAATGTTTTGGATATTGCTACTAGTTTTTGTTAATTTCTGGAAATTTCTACTTTTATGATAATTTTTTATAATTATTGGCAATTTATGGTAAATAATGGTAACTTATTTTGGTTACTTGATAACTTTAAGTAATTTCTAGTAATTTAAGATAATTTATCATTGGTAATTTGTGCTAAGTCTTGGTAATTTAGTATATGATAATTTATTTGTAATTTTTGGTAGTTTTTCATATTTTGTGGAAATAAGTGGTAATTGTTTTCTAAGTTCTTCTAATTTCTGGTATTTTTATTAATTTATTGATTTCATTGAAAATTATGTTAATGGATATTTCTTGTAATTTATGAGAATTTGTGATGATTGCTGTAGATTTCTATTTTATGATGATTTTTATAGTCATTGGTAATTTATGGAAAATAATGGTAATTTATTTTGGTTATTTGATAATTTCAAGTAATTTTTAGCATTTAAGATGATTTATCAATTAGTATTGGTAATTTGTGCTAAGTCTTGATAATTTATTATCTGAAAATCTATTTGTAATTTTTAGTAATTTCTCGTATTTTTTGGAATTAAGTGGTAATATTTTGCTAACTTCTTCTAATTTCTGGTAATTTTTATTAATTTATTTTTTGATAATTTCTGGTAATTTATCATTTTTTCTGAAGAATATTGTTAATTTTTTTGCTAAGTTATACTAAATTCTGGTAATTTCTATTAATTTAATTATTTCTTTTAAAAAATGTGTAATTTATGTTGTTCGATATTTCTACTATTTTATAATAATTTGTGCTAACGCTTGGAAATTTCTACTATTTTATGATAATTTTTTATAATTATTGGTAATTTATTTTGGTTATAGTATTTGGTAATTTCATGGAAATTCTAGAAATTTAAGATAAATTTATCAATAGTTATTGTTTATGCTATGTCTTTGTAGTTTTTTAAATAAATTGTTATGAGTTTAGATCCCCTTCGACCTCGGCTCACACCCTCCGGAGCCTTGGAGCCCTCAGCTCTCCACCGGAACTTGGGAGCGAATTGACTTTATTGCCTTCGGCCAATCCGAGTGTCAACACCTGTGTTTTAGCCGGTCCAAAGAAGATGCTTCGATTGCACCGGGTGCCAATCCAAAGAAGATCTCCTTGCTCTCTTTCTCACTTTTGCTAGAAAGGTGGAAGGGAAGAGAATTGACTCTAAAATATGCAAGAAAAACGGGGAAGAGAGCCTGGGAATGAAATGCTCGATTGGAAGTTCTTTAGAATGAAAGAAGGAATGGCACTACTCCAATTCGTTTAAGCATCTTAAATTTGGCAAATGCCCTGTTTTTGGCAACTTCCCTTTTCAAACACAAATGAGAGAGAATGAATGAGATGGTCCCCAAATTTGAAGTAATAGAGAAAGGAGAGAGCATCTAACATGGCCATCCTTGTTTTAATATATAATGATAGATAGTGTGAAAATCACATCATTTTACTTTCCTATTTTACTCATAACAAACATAAAGACAAAAGCTAGACCTGAAGCAAAAGTAAATTAAATAAGAATTTATCACACTCAGCCAATTTGTACTTACAGGGATTTGTTCCGATGTAGATGAAATTTTCACTGCAAATAAACCAAGTCCAAATTATTGTTTTTCCAAATTGATTAGTTTTTATGAACATGGTTTCCTATCCATATTTGGATTACCTCTCTTTCTCAATCTTTAAAAAGAGCTTTTATAGAATTTCTCCATGAGGGGGCATTCTTTTTTTTTTTGGATTTTTTTTTTGGGGAAGGGGGAAGTTGGTTAGGTCAATAGAAACTAAAAGTCCTTTGACCAAGAAATTCATGTCCTTTATTCATATTTATGTGGAGACTAGGGAAAATATATTTTCAAATGTATTACCCATCTCCTAGGTGGGAATTCCCACCTAGGGGGAAAATCACCAACACTTGAATGGAACATAATGCCCCTTTTAATAATGAATTTTTATGGTTAAAATGGTCATTGCATTATTTACCTGGGAAATAAAAGAATATGAATAAATGCACTTACCCAATTAAGTCTTTCATAAAAAACACATACCCAGATAAATAACTTACCGAAAAGCGAATGTGGCCTTAGTGTCAATTACCACATAAAAAGGCGCTCTTATTGAAACACTTGACTCATCTTTAAATTAATCAACACCATTACTTTTCTAGTTTTTTGTTGGAAAAAGAGAAGAAAAAGATAGACCCAGATATCAAGAAGAAGAAGAGTTGAAGTAGTTAATTGTTAGATGACAAACTCTTGGACTGTGGCTTCTGGAGTTTGGAGATGGACTCCACACAAAAAGCCCAATAGTTATGTTTGGTGAAAATCCAAAAAGCCAACAAATGACTCTCGTTGAAACAGTTCATTCTCCATGGTCATGATCCATGAAACTACTTTGAGTAGCTTATCTGGAACTTATAGGAGCAGTTCATCGAAAGCTGAAGCCCTCCGAAATGGGGCCTTGTCAAAATCCAAGAATTTTATGGGTGTTCATTCAAAACAAAAGCAAATGCCATATCAACAAATATGTTAGCAAACACTCCCTTAATATGTTAAAATCCACCTACAAATAAGTTTTAATTAACTGGCGTTTATGCATATAATATTATATACTACACGACCCAAACACTCCACAATCACTCTTATGTTGACAAATCTACTCATCTCATGACAAGAATCAGATCAACTTATTTTAGGATGACCAATTATTTCTCATCTTAAGATGATGAGCGGCTGAGTAAATTGACTGAGTGAAGGTTGGTATGGTATTGTATACAGACTCTCCACAATCACTCTTGTTGCTTTTATATATATACAGACTCTCATAGAGAGAAAATCCCATCCTCGTTGTATAGTCTGCCAAGAGAAGAACTGGATTTGATTCTAGCAATCAGAGTGCAAGCTTTGAGGTTCAACAAATGGTGCAGGTATATATCTTTGTATTTCTTCTGAAACTGTCTTTTATATTGAGCTAAATCAGGAGTTTCCATCACTCTGTAGTGCAAATCTGAAATCAGATACAAAATTTGAATTCAATTTAGTTTTGCATCTGTCTATAATTATGATTTGCACTTGTATTTGATACACAATTCGTGCTTTTTGTCTCACTTGAACTTATTGATAGTGCAAATTTTGTATCTCAAAAACCGACGTAAAATTTGCAAAACCATCCTCCTGCCTTGATTGATTCTCTTTCATTTGAAGTAAGGACTACATCGTCTTGCTCCCTACCTCACCCAATTTTCTTTCATATAATGCGGATACCACATCGTTTTACTTTTCACAAACAAACAAGACAAAAGTCAGATCTGAAGCAAAAACAAATAAGAATTTACACTCAACCTTTTAAGCACTTACATGCAATATTTATAACAATGTAAGTGAAATTTGCACTGCAAGCAAACTGAGTCCACATTACTGTTTTTCCTAATTGATTAGTAGTTTTTATGAATATGGTTTCCAATCCATGATTGGATTACTTCTAACCATCCATGTTATGTTCTCTTTCTCGATCTTTGGAAGAGCTTTCATGGAACTTCTCTCCATTAGTGTCACAATTTGGCGGCAAAACTACATATTTGGGTTTGATTGTATTTGATCTAGTTAACATCTTAGGCAGGCTCATCTGATGTTGTTGGTCCAAATCTTTAAAACTTGAGCTTGAGGACCAACTATTTGTGATTCCGGATTAGCTGATGACAAAGTCATGAACACCGGGCTGGGCTACCTATCACAAAGTAAGCACGTTTTGTTCCATATGCATAAGGTGGTGTTCCACTTGTGCCCCATGTGTATTGAACACTGGCATGTTCACTTGTGATAGGTAGCCCAGCCCGGTGTGCATGATTTTGTTTCTAGAGAATTTGATTCCATTATGTGCACTTTAGATCCATGCGACATATACCAACCATTTACCTTAGAAAGTCCACGGTCCACCAGCCATTTAAAGTAGGTAGGTAGGCTATGAATGTTTTCTTTGAGTTTAATGTGTTGCAAGGTGCCAACTGGCTGGTTGGTAATAAGGTTTATTGTTAGTTGTAGCTGAGACTTGGGATCAAATCGCACCAGCCCCATGTGTATTGAACACTGGCATGTTCACTTGTGATAGGTAGCCTAGCCCAGTGTGCATGATTTTGTTTCTAGAGAATTTGATTCCACTATATGCACTCTAGATCCATGCGACATATACCAACCATTTACCTTAGAAAGTCCACGGTCCACCAGCCATTTAAAGTAGGTAGGTAGGCTATGAATGTTTTCTTTGAGTTTAATGTGTTGCAAGGTGCCAACTGGCTGGTTGGTAATAAGGTTTATTGCTAGTTGTAGCTAAGACTTGGGATCAAATCGCACCAGCACCTTAGTTGAGAGGGCTTATGGGTTTGGGGATGGGCTACCCTAACCAAGTCTTCAACATGTTCTTATGTGATTTTCCAAAGCCCATCAAGCCCATTTAGAAAATAACCTTTTTGGCTATGGGTCTGGGTGTCACCACCAAACCAAACCGAATCAAACTGAAATCGGCGGTTTGCTAAAGTCTTAAAAACATTCTAGTTTGATTTGAGAATTTCCAAAACCATAATTTTCTGATTTGGTTTATTTTTCCGATTTTAGAAGTCAAACCAAATTATTAACAATATATGTTAATGTATGTAAAACGCATATGCTTAAACATATATAATATAATTATTTATGTACAACATAAGTATTCAGTTAACATTTAAACATATTACGTAATTTGATGCCTAAGGACCTGTTCACGTTTGATCAATTGTGAATGCAATTTATACAACTTCAATAGTTGGCAATTGTAAATAAGACAAATTTATATTTGAATTTTATTTGTTATTTATGCGGGAATATATATTATTTGGTTTTTCTGATTGTGTTAAGCCGAATGGCCCAAACCGTATTAGAAACCAAACTGCTTTTGCTTTGGTTTGGTCTAATAATTTTTTAGACCATAATTTATTGGTTTGGTCTGATATCAAGTGGGTTTTCTTCTCAATTATTCCATTGCTGTGAGTATTGAGATCTAATTTTGCTTGTTTATGGATTTATGCCAGATGATGATGTATTCATGTAGCTGACTGCTGACCCATATAACTGAGATAAAGGCTTGGAAGATGATGATGATGAAGAAGAATTTATAACAGATCCAGTGTCAATTCATGCCCTTTATCGCCCTGTTCAAAACCTTCCAAATGCAAGAAAGCTGCATTGCCCTTTGCTCGATCGTGTCCCTCTTAATGGAGGCTTTCTCCTTATTGGCGTCAATGTTATTAGAAGCATCTCTTTGGCAAAGTATTTGAAAAACTCGAGAAGGTATTACAAGGGGGAGAGAGAGAACTATGGACTTGGGTGCATTGCCCTTTCTACTCAGCAGCTTGCGCTTACTGCTGGGAGAAGCAGAGCTCATACGAGGCATTCACGAACAGATTCGTAATCTTACACTTGAATTAGAAGAAATTCAAGCAGTCCTAATGAAAGCTTACAAAGAGCAGGAGAGCAACGGAAGTGAGAATCCGAGGATAAAACAATTTGGAGAGATAGCTTATGACATCGAAGTTGTAATAGACAAGTACAAGCTTTATGCCATTCAAGAGTCTCACAATAATTACCCTCAGTTGCCATGGAACTGGAGACCATGGAACTGGGGACCTTTCCATTCCCTAGGCAGAGAGATAGAAAATATTCGGAAAAGGATCAACGACCTCAAGGAACATAGAGAAAGATGCAGGGATATCATCTCAATAAGTAGTCAAAAAGCCCCATCTGGTTCTACTACCACAATCATAACACAAGAGTTCAATAATTTGGCCTCCTTGTTCCTTGATGAATCTCAGATTATAGGCTTTGATAAACCAGTACACCAGCTGATTTCCAGGATAAGGGAACCAAGATCAATGACTACTGTGATCTCCATCGTTGGCATGGGTGGTTTGGGCAAGACAACCCTTGTCAGAAAAGTGTACAATATGTTAAAAGAAACATTTGAATGCCATGCTTGGGTGGCAGTGGAGCAATCATACAGCAAAACGGAGAGCTTGAAGAGCTTGTCATCCCAAATTGTCCCATCAAGTGGGATCAGTAGTAGTCTAGAGGCCGAACCACATAGCAAGACCCCTTCAAGAACCAATTTAGTTCACATAATGGCCAAGGTGAAGGATTATTTGCAGCATAAAAGGTATGTGGTTGTTTTTGATAATATATGGAAACCAGATATTTGGGAAAACTTCAGCAGCTTGTTACCAAACAACGAATGCGGTAGTAGAATAATTGTTACAACGCGTAGAAACGATGTTGCCAATTCTTGCACTGGATATTCTGGTCATGTCTATAACCTACAACCTCTACCTTTGGCGGAGGCACGAGAACTCCTGTGCAAGAGGGCCTTCTCGTCAAGCTTTGCAGAATGCCCTGCAGAGAGGAAGGAGTGGTCTGAAAAGATTGTAACGAGGTGCGAAGGATTGCCTCTTGCAATTGTTGAAATAGGTAAACTAATACTAAGTAACAAAAGCAAAGCCATGGTTGAATGGAGAAAGCTGCACGATACTCTTGGCTCCGAGTTAGCAAGGACAGGATCTCTTTCACGTATTACTGGAATATTATCTCTAAGTTTTAACAATCTGATGTCCTACTCCTTCCACCATACCTATTGTCTCTTGTACATTAGTATTTTTCCCAAGGGTTACGCTGTTAGCTGTAGAAGGTTGATTCGGTTATGGATGGCTGAAGGATTCATCGAGGAAATGGGGGACAGAACATTGGAAGATGTTGCAGAGGATTACCTCAATCATCTCATCGGGAGTAACTTGCTTCATATCGTGGACACAGAGATCGACGGGCGACCCAGAACTTGTCGGCTTCATTATTTGATGAACGACATCATAGTTTCGAGGGCCGAAAATGAAGACTTTTTTAAAATTCTCAGAGAGTCGAATCAAAACTTGGGAAACCGAATCCGCCGCTTACTTGTTCATGATGGTTGCAGGAATCTATCCTACAACAACAGGGGCTCCTACCCATATGTTCGATCCTTTTTCAGGTTCCCATTGGATAGATCATCTTCGTCCACCTCCTTTAGCGACAAAGTTATTTCAAACTTTAGGCTCTTGAAGGTTTTGGATTTGGAGAATGCACCCTTGGATACTTTTCCTAATGGAATTGACTATCTACTTCTGTTAAGGTATCTAAGTTTGAGRAATACCAGGGTCAAAAATCTGCCCAAGTCGCTTGGTAAGCTTGTAAACCTTGAAACTTTGGATCTTAAGCATACATTCATCACTAAATTGCCCTCTGAAATTGCCCATCTTCATCGACTACGCCATCTTTTAGTCTATCGGTACGACTTTCAAAACTATGCGCCTTTCGATTGTGTAAGAGGTGTTAGTGTGCATGAGAAAATTGGTGGCTTAACTGCTTTGCAGAAGCTAGCTTTTGTAAAAGCAAGCAAGCATACTGGAATTGTCCAAGACTTGAAAATTTTGACCCAACTAAGGAAATTGGGGATTGTCGAACTGGAAGGAGAAAGTGGGAAAGATTTGTGTATCTCCATTGAGAAGATGCAGAGCCTTCACAGTTTAAGCATATCATCACAAAGAATGGAGGAACATCTTGATCTACAGACTATGTCTTATCCCCCTCGCCATCTTCAACGTTTATATCTGAAGGGGCACCTTCAAAGCATGCCCAGATGGATTTCAGAACTTCACGACCTGGTCAGGATACGCCTGAAGTGGTCAAAGTTGAAGGATAATCCCATTGAAGCCCTTCAAGATTTGCCTAGCCTAATGGAGCTTCAGTTGCTTGATGCTTACAGTGGAGATAAGTTGGAGTTCATGCAAAAGAAATTTAAGAAACTTAAGATACTGGAATTTGAACAACTGTGTCAAYTGCGTACGGTGATACTGTACAAAGGCACATTGCCCAACCTTCAGAAACTAGTTATAAGATGCTGTCCAATGYTAAGAGCAGTGCCTAGAGGAATTGACAACCTTACCCAACTGAAGGAACTTGAATTGCAGGATATGGATGAAACATTCATAAATGGTATTCGAAAGAACGGAGGTGAATGCCGTAGGATGGTCAATCACATCCCAAAAATTCGTTCTTGCTCTCATGGTTGTTGGACAGATCTTTCATGATTCCTCTTTCAATTCCTCCTGCACTGCTACTATCTGTATCTTTGCAGAAGTACTGGTGAGATTTTATACACCTTGTTTCTAATCTGGTTGGTTATTGTTCTGTTTTTTTTTTCTTTTTTCTGCTAAAAGGTTTACAGATATATCACCCATTTTCCGCATATTTATTATTCAATATTGATTTGGTTGAGTTCAAATATGCAGTGTTTCATGAAGGATCCTAATAATACACATGATTCGTCTTGTAAAGGACAAGCCAATTGGTTTCATAATGTAGGGTTCTAGCATAAGAAACTACAGCTAGCGTCTTCATCCATTATCATTCTCAACTCATTGTCTCAATCGAATGAAGTGGTGCGCACTTGTTTATAGAGATCATATCTATATGATCATTTGGGATTTCTGAGAGGAAAATGGCATTGCTTTGATATTGCTGATTCATTTCTACCTACTATTGCCTTGTATTAGAGTTCTGGATGTTTAATTTAGTTCTGATTTTCTGTTCTTTTCTTCTGATTTTTTTCTTTTCCCTTAGATTTGTTTATTCATGGTTGTTGGAATACAAAGATGGTAATTTGATTAAGGCACTTATTAATTAAGTATTGTGGATTACATGTTCAAAAGGAGCTCACATCCTCTGCATCGTGGTTGCAGAAAAACTCTGCAACCACCAATGCAAATTTAACACATCATTGGTTCACAACGGAGGTGTGGAAGGCTGAAACCAACAGCCGTTTTTTTATTTTAGTATTTGTACTATCTTTTGAAAAACCCGCCAGTACTCCTTTCTCTCGCCATCCCTGTTCCACACCGACCACCGGTGATGGTTGCGTCACAGGACATCGACCGCCAGTGACAGTTCCTCCTCTCTCTCTCTCTCTCAGTTTTCTTGTTTCCTCTTCTTCCCTCTTCCTCCAAATCAGCAACCCAGCACTTCGTCCGGGTCGCCGTCGCAATCACCAACGCTGCTGCAACCACCAGGCATCGGACAAAGCATGAACAACAGGTCAAAATGTTAACCTCTAATGATTTTGAACTCTAAAACCCTAGCTACTGTCTATTGTTTCTGGTGTTAGTTATTTGCTGCAATAATTAAGGGATCTAGATTTTTGTTTTTTTTTCTAACAGTTTTTACTTCTCCAGATTGAACCATTATACCTAAAACATATCTATTTTTTTGCTTTAGATTTTTGCAAGGTTTTTAAAAATGAACTGGAAATAGAACCAGTCAGGGGACCGGTTTCTGGTTAAGCAGTTCAACCGTCTGGGTCAAACTCATTATTCTGATGAACTCATTCATTCCCTCCAATTTGTTGAAAGCTCTTTCAATTCCAATTTCATATCTCACATTTCCCATGATTTGTAGGCTTGCTAATTGGTCATTGGTATTGTTATTAGGTTCCTGAGTGGAGATATAAAGCTAATAGGTCACTGTTATTGCATATGGACTAAAATACCAGATTCTTAAAGTTGGATCATTAAGGAGATAAACCATTGATCAGCAATTGACAAGAAAACCTGCATATAACCCTTGTTCTTAGATGGGTCTAAAATCAGTGAATGGAAAAGAGACTATTTTACTGAAAATTTCTATATGGCTTAAATATCTAGAAAATATTTAAGGATTGTCCAAAACTTAATGGTGGTTTAACAACAAAGGGAGTGTCGTAAATTAGTTCTAACTTCCAAAATTTAAGGAGTTTTGTAAAATTAGTTCTAACTTCAAATTTCTCTATTCCATTTTTATCCATATTTCTCTTTAAGTATTTATATTTGAACTAAGTGAAGTTAGATTGACTTATAAAATCTTATAGGAAGTACTCTTCTTTCAGGATATCAAAGGAAAAAGATTGGAAATCTCTTCTCAATTGACATAGGATTTTCTCCTTTCAGAAAACCAATAAAGAACTTCATAGAGATCAAAGATCAAATGCCAATCCCTGAAGGACAGTGGATTGTGAAAAATCCTGCTCCATTTTTATGTGCAGGACAGAGAGGCTACTGGAGATATCGACAACATCTACCTTCTGGATGATGATAGCCTGTAAGTCATGCTCATGGCTCAACTAGTCTCATGGGTTCCAAGCTTTAAAAGGTGCCCTACACAACCTTTATCATCTCATCTTTCTCAAAAATTCATTTGATCTTTCTCAACAATACACCATAAACACAATTTAGAGGTCATCATTAATGTTTCGTTGTTTCTACTGTTACTGTTCTTCAATTATCTGTCTCGCAAGACGACAATGTCCGATCTCAACTTTTAGCAATCTTCCCTGTAACAATCCCCACTGCAATTTTCTGACAATCATGATATAAGTCTGAACTCAAATACCTCCTTTATCTAGCATCAGATTCACTACTGGAGTTGTCTCCTACCAACACATTGAAGGGGAACCAATTCATTTTGAACAGGAGTTCTAACAATACGACATATGCAGTTACTTTTGTAAGCTCCCTGTGTACAGCTACAGTTCTAACCAATTCATTTAATGAATATTACTTTACCTTTTCTTAAAAAAGGAAACCTTGTTCTAAACCACCAAATATTCTTGGCATATAAAAATTGTTTCCATGTGTTATTCTATTTAAATGTTTAACTAACGTAAAAAAACAATAAGAAAAAAAATAAGAAAAAAAATAAGAAAAGCCTATCAAACAAAATAATCAAAACAAAACAAATTTGAACCAACCATCTTGACTTTACCTGAAGAGTGGAGGAAGCATCAAATATGACACTGAGAAGGTGGAGTCATCAATGCAAATCAAGGTCACATTCTGAGACAAAAGCTGTGGAAGCACTTTGTGCTGTTGTTGATGGATCCAGCATTAGTGATCCTTCCGAGAATCAACCCATGGAAATGAGTACACTGTATGATGTCTGAAGAAAATATTCACAATTAAAGGAGGGCATAAGCGTTGTCCCCTATTAAAACCTTTACTGAATGAGACCTGAAAAAGAGAAAAAAAACACACTTAATCTTTGTGATCCAAGAAAAGGCCTTCTAAGATGCTTGGGTATTTTAGAGAGCAAAAGTAAAAAAGAGAAAAAAAAAATCCAATTTTCTTATAGGCTTCAAACCTCATTCCATAACCAAATTCCAAACATGTAGAAGGCCTTGAAGAATTACATTTTTCTTGATCACCTGGCAACCACTATAGCACCTATAACCCAAATATTCGTTTCTGATCATGAATTGCATCTCTTTCACCACTCATACTCATACCCATGCTACTTCCAACAGATCTACCAAAATATTCCATTTGGGAACACCTATAATTTAGTATAGCCTCCTCAAGGCTGGCCAGAAAAATCTTACATTAGGCTCAGTTTGGAAGGAGTATAAATACAAATATGTATAGTGCAAAACCTTGTATTTTGTACGTATTTGTACCAATTTTTTAAAATGTGAAGGCGTTCCACTACCTAGAGGCATAAAGCATAGTTCAGAATGTAAGAGGTGTAAGCCTCCCGAACACAAGTAGGCATAAGCCTCCTTAAGAGGAGGAGGACAAAGAAGCGGAAGGGAGATCTCATTTTTTCTTTGTTTTTAATAATAATCTTTTATATTAAGAAGAACAAAGATGCATAGCACTAGTTAAAAGGGGGGTCTTGTCGAAGCGGAGGCGAGCAAGCCGAAGCAGAGCAAGACCCCCCTAATGCAAAAAAAAAAAAAATGGATTGCTGCGTTGAAAAGGGGGGTGGGGGGCGAAGCCCCCTAGCCGAAGGGGCCAGGGGTAGATCACTTTCTTTCCCCTTATCTTTTCTTCCCTTCCCTTTCCTTTTCTTTTATTTTTTTCATCTCTTTCTTTCTTTTTCTTTCCTTTCACTTCCCTTTCTTTTCCTTTCCTTTCCTTTTTTTCTTTTTTTTTTCTATCTTTTTATATGAGATATGCATGAAGCATACGTCTCTTGCACCTGAGGCTTATGCCTCAGAGGTGTCAATGCCTCTAGCATATGCCTCAGAGCATTTTAGGAGCCTCCAAGCTTATGCCTTTCACGCCTTTTAAAACATTGATTTATACTGTACATATTTGTATTTGTTTTCTTTCCAAATTGATCCTTAATTTATAAGGAACAACTAAGGGTCTGTTTGGTTTACAATTGGATTCAGAATCAAAATCCTTCAGAATCGGAATTGAAATGGTCTGTTCCCATTGTTTGTTTGGTTCAGATAAGAATGGAAATAAAAATTGGAATCAGCATGACTGGGATTTCATTCCCAAGGGAGGGGCAGGGAATGGCCATTCCCTCAAATGGGGGAATGGCATTCCAATTCCACCCAACCAAACAGTTGGAATCTGAATAGCCCATTCTGGTTCCAATTCTAGACCCTTAACCCTTTTTCCTATAAACCAAACGGAGTCTAATTTCCTGTTACTATATACTTTTTCAAAATATCAGTAGCGCCTCTTACATGAATCTTTACTAGTGCTTCAACCATATGGAGAGTATCAAAACATAGTCTTGACTTAGAATTATTTTCTCAACTATGTTTTATTTCATAACCACATCCAAAGGCAACTATATCCCACATCAATTTGTTTAGGGGAAGAAAAAGAAAATAAAATCTCTACACGTCACCTCAAAATAAAAAGAAGTTGAATTCTAGGAGGTAGGTAATCTGTTGAGGGCTTGGGAATAGGATCTCGTCACGGGTCGGTCCACGGGGAAAACCTCCTGTTTTCCCTTGTTYMTTCMTDYTCKTGATGAACCTATCTTGGCGCCTTTGGTGATTTGTCCAAGAGATCACCAACTCTCCTAACTCATTCTTGACTGAATAATTTGATATCTCATTCAATAATGGGGTCTCCTTAAATAGGAGATTACAAGAGTCCTAATCAAGGGGAGTCTCCTTGCTGAATAGGGAGACTTCCAGTTCTATCTTGCTAAGGATAAGATAAG